GAGAAGCACCAAGAGGAAGCAGACTTAAAAATTGTAACTGTTGATGAGCTCCTCAGTGCAGGGGAGCTAAAGATCCAAGGCATACCTGTAACCACCTCTGATTCTACAGATGGTGTTGCATCTAGTAAGGTGGTTGGGGGAGAGGACGATTGCAGTGGTTGTCTCTCTATCTGGTGCAAGATATGTATGGATAAACAAACTGAGGGACTCACTCAAGTGGCAAAGCTATTGAAGAAACTGGACTATGTGGAGTCACTATTTCCTTCAACCAAAAAGCTGGCACTCCATTTTCCAGAGTGGGAGCATGCTGACTTTGTCAATCGTTATATGGCTCTGTGTGTTTGGTACAATGCAACGGTGCAGTTGAGAATGAAGATTGAAGTCCTTGGGAAACTGCTTGGGAACATGACTTCAGCCCTTATTCCTTGGCCTACCTTTAGCACCAGCTTTACAGGTGCTGCAACACCAACTTCAAGTTATGATTCAGGGGTCCCGCAAACCACTCACTATGAGGAACCCTCTCACGAGAAAGAAACACACGTGGATAAGTCTGCATCTGTACGTTTTGTGATAGACTGTGATAAATCAGATGCTAGCTCAAACCCCTCTGATTCAAATAATTCAACGGATTCGGGTCATACTACTGGTAGCACCAACAGTGGTCTGCTAATGCCACCTGCACCTTATCCTCCTCTAGGGGGACTTAAGCGATGTCTCAGTGACATTTTTGTGGAAGCAAACCCTTACAGGTGAGACTTAGGTTCTGTGTCATGATTCTTTAAGGTTCATTTCTTTAGTTAACTTCCTTATGAGTTGCATCATTATTTTGGGTTGATTATCTCTGGTTTGGTGAACTCAAGATTTGTAAGATATGATATTTTCTGTTTGCTCTACATAATTGATCCCCCCCACCCCCCCATAATAATATACCTTGTAAGGCTGTTAATTTTCTACTCACCTTCACAGAAAATATGTAGAAAAGCTCTTGAGAACTAAAGGCATGAAAAAGACATTTGATAAAGTAGCTGAGGTTATCCGTGATGTGATGTCTCGTACCATATGCATTTTGGAAGAGCCTCATCACTCTGTACGAGACTCAAAGCAACAAAAGGTATGTGATTTTTGTTTTTTTTTCTTTTGTTGATTTTTGAATAGGACTACTTAAAAAGATTTTGTCTAAAAAGGTAATTGTTTATTGATATCTTATTACTTATTGATCATTTATCTAGCAATCATGTGTCATGTATTGGAAAAACATGTATGGTATTTTTAGGAAAAATGTAATATCCTAATTTTATGAATTATATGATATATGAAAAGGTCATTTGCTAGGCCTCCTTGCTGCACATTTTACCCCATTCCATAGAAATTTAGGTTTTATTTTTAGTTAAGCAGCTGTTATTACTGCTTTAACATTATCTTGACAATGTTGATCATCATAATAACAGTAATGATAGTAGCAATTAAAAGTTTTTTTTTCCAAAAAATCTAAGTAATTACACCAATGATTGACTTTTTGAGGACAGTGCTAGTGAAGCCATATACATTTAATAGAAATAGATAAAACAAAATCACATAGGACAGTGGATGTAGCCATGATCACTTGGAATAGTTTATTTTCACTCTTCTCTGTGTGTGTCCAAAATGCAGATTAAATAGCCCATTATGCATTGTTACAAACAATCTACTACATGATTAGAAGTGTCTTCTCACTGTAAAGGAAATTAGTCAAAGAAGGGAATTGATTTTGCAGGTGAGGAAAAATACCACTGCTAAATAATGTGCAGGAATAGTCTAGGGAACATGTATGGAATAGAATTAGTGAGAACCTCTCTCAGATGTATTTATATAGGAACAGAAATAGTTGAGTCCTTTGTCAAACTATATGTAATAATTCTATTTAAGTTCAGCATTCTGAAAAGATTCCCTTTCTTTTCAGAATGCTACAGATATACCAACTATTGCATTAACAGAAAACTTAGAAGAACTTAGTAGGTATGGACCCTGGATTCCAAGGTTTGAAAAATTGGAGCTTCCTCCATTCTATGCAACTTTCATTTTCTTAGCTTCAGTGTCACTTCAGATGATGAGGGAGTGCCTGAAGCTCAGGATTGAGCAAATGCCTGAAAGACCATCTAGACTTAGTATTAAAGAGGTATGTATTCTATTTACTTTAGGTTTATGTAAAATATAATAATTGATTGATTGAATTTGAGGACCTTTATCACCCTGTTGTGTATCTGTATATCTATATATTTTTTTGTGTACATGTTTATTTATATGTATAAGTATTGTCACTGACACAAACAACAGCTCTCACCCTGAATACTGAAACTGTAATTTAAAAACCTGGATTAAGTGTTTCACCAAAATGGGAGAGAGCTTTTTCTTTTATTTTATGATTGTATATGTTCTGATATTATTGTTGATGATTATAATTCATATATCTATAAATATGAACTCTGCATTTTTTTTTTTTTTAGCTTATGAGGGAGTTCAAAGAAGGAGTCAAGTTTGCTGTTGTTGTGAGGCAGAAGTACCTGAGGGCTTGCCATGCACTCTTTGGCAGTCTTTCTCCACTACTTCGAGAGAACTTAGAGATACGCCAGACTCAAGCAATTGAAGAGCTAGATGCTAATATAAAGAGAATGTTAGAGGTTTGTACCTAATAAGTTATACATTGTTGTAGGACAAATAGATGCAAATAGAAGTGGTTGCTGCATTTATTGTTGATATTTCTTAATAAATTTTAACCTTTTCTTAGAAAAATGCTGATCAGGCTTGAAACATGGTAGCATTTTTTATTGCCTGCTGCAAAATGTGTGTGTGTTTTTCTAAAGATGTTATATCCCATGACATATTCCATGACATGTACTTTTCTTATATATATGTGTTTAATTTCTAGGTTTATCTAGAGTGGCTTGATCAGTTTGTGTGCATGTTACATCGTGAGCCTCATGCATCAGGTTTGCAACGGAACTTCCTCCAAGAAGAATGGCGTTTTGTCCAAGCAACTTGTCCCCACGTTAATGAAGGGGATAGTTTAGCAGCGACAAGATTTTGGTAAGTTGAGAACACAGAATGAAGTTAAATACTGATTATGATGATATTCTTGGAATACATATCTCTTTTATATCTTAGAAGTAGTCCTGTAGAAAGGAAGGGGTATGAAAAATTTATTTTCATCTTTTTCTAGTCTCACCTTGTTTATAATTTCTTTTCCTTTCTGTCTTCTCATGTATGAAAAATTTATTTTCATCTTTTTCCAGTCTCACCTTGTTTATAATTTCTTTTCCTTTCTGTCTTCTCATATCTGCTCTTCTCATTTCTCATTACCTTCATTTCTATCTCTTCACTCTTTTCATCTCTCATCTGTTCTTTGCTTTCTCCTCTTTTAATCATATCAGAAATTCTAGAAGGATAGGTAAACCCATGATGTTAGCTTGTCCCATATTTTTATTGCTTCCAGAAAATACACAGCATTCTCCAACTTTACTTGCAAAACTTTCATTGTTCTGTTCACAGCAATATAGCCTGTCACATGCTGTGTAGTGTGGGCGATTTTATTGACACAGGAATCGACGATCAGATGGCAGCCATGCAAGATTCAACTTTAGAGAATTTTGATGATGATTTTGAGGAGGAGGATATGGATCAAGATGATATCCAAAAGTGAGTCTTTAAGGGTTTATGCTGAATTATAGGGATGAGTTGAGCAATGGCTCAATTGACAAGTTGTCAATGATAGATTTTGAAATACAGTATGCTCTCTTCAGTGCATTTTATATTTCAACTACCTATTACATGAATTGTGTGTGTGTCTTAGTATAGTTTGTGGGTGCTTTTTTGTCTTGATTTATGATTGATTGTTTTATACTTCATTTCCATTGTAGGAAGAGACTCCTTCAGCGATGTAGAGCCCTTCAAGTTCTCTTAGCTGAAACACGTGAGCGTGCCTTAAGAGCTGCAGGGTTAGCCAAGATGTTAAGGAAAGACTTAGAGGTCGCTGCAGAATTCCAAATCAACTGCAAGCCTGCCGTGGTGCTGAGCAGATTAAGGGAAACAGGACACATCCGAGTGATTGCACCACACAGCCAAAACCACTTCATATTTGTTCCAGGTGTGTTACTTAAGAACTTTTAATAAAGAAGGCTGAATGTGATACTTTTTTTTATTTTTTAATTTTCATTTTCATATTCATTTGTTTGCTTTATAATACCAGTTACTTTCACAAAATTCTCTTGCAGCCCGCATCAAGGACAAAAAGGAATACATCTGGCACTTGTTGGACATGAGGGTTGGTGGCATAGGCATTGAGCATGAATCAGATGAAGAGGGGGGTTATCTGGTCCTCATGAGGTGTGACGGGGGGGATAGTCTTCACAATTTGTGGACTGGCGATCTGATCAAGATAGAACCTACAGCAGATTGCACAATTACACTTTCTAGAGTACAGGTGATATGATTGTGAATGTTATGATTATTTTTTCAAATTATACCTGTAATAATTGGGTATGTTTATGTTTGAGTTTATGTATGATTGAATCATTATATACTTGATTTGAGAATTATAAACTCAAATAATGTTGATATGGTTATATTTTTTCCTGTCAGTTGATATTTGTCCATATGTCCAAAGATCCTGTAAAAAAAAAGAGGTTGCTTATGATTTAAACAAAAAAAATGCTCTACTTGAAGCTGTCCTTTTCAGGTGACAAGTATGATGGTGGTTGTATCTACGGGAACAATGCTCGTTCCAGTCCGGAGAGAATTTCTTCACTGCATGGGCAACACCGTCCTTTTAGTGCACGATCAGACAACACCCAACAAAGCCATTACTCATTCCATTGATGAACTAAAGGTTAGAATGCATTTCTTAATAGAGTGATGTTAATATAGATTTGATTATTGTAAGGAGTTTTATATTCATCTCTTTCTTTTCTCACTGCATTAAATTCTTATTTCAGAAAGAGGCTCTGGAACTCTGCAATAGCCTTCAGAATAATATCCAACAGGTGGAAAGTATGACAGATCTAGATGCAGTGATACCGAGCCTAGAATATGGAGAACGGCGGCAGCTTCATTTAGTAACCAGAGACGTGGTTCATCAGTATTTCATGTTTGGCTTTGAGGTATTCTAAACAGTGATGTAGTCAGGGTGTTATTATGTTTTTGTAAGTTTAAAGGATGTGGCCACACTAGTGACCACATTCATAAACAAAAACGGGTTTTATTGGTATCATTTGCAAATACTTTTAGAATTTGGGTGAGAGCCAATCGTCAGTGAATTTTGTATTCAAGGTATAAAAGAAAAAAGGTCTTAAATATATATGTGTGTGTGTGTGTGTGTGTATGTATTGTGTTTGTGTGTGTGTGTGTTTAATATATATATATATATATATATATATATATATATATATATATATATATATATATATATATATATATATATATATATATATATATATATATATATATATATAAATATATAAATATATATAAATATATATATAAATATATATATATATATAAATATATATATATATATATAAATATATATATATATATATAAATATATATATATATATATATAAATATATATATATATATATATATATAAATATATATATATATATAAATATATATATATATATATATATATATAAATATATATATATATATATATATATATATATATATATATATATATATATATATATATATAAATATATATATATATATATATATATATATATATATATATATATATATATATATATATATATATATATATATATATGTATGTATATGTGTGTGTGTCCTATAATTATCACTGGGTGGTTTCTGTTTGTGCCATGACATACCATCCATAAGAGTTTAAACCATGCACAATTGAGTCATATTGTAGTATTTGAAAAGCTACAACCCTTTATAGTAAACTGAAAGTCTCTTTTTATCTTATACAATTACAAATCATATATGCTGCAGCCAAACTTAAAGGCAATGGGAAAGGCAAATGTATTCCATGCTTCTGTGCAATATACCCAGCACATGGTTCGTGATAGCATGGGTAAAAGTGTTTGTCATTAGGTGAATTTCTGTTTCTTTTGTCATTATTTACTCCAAAACAATCATTGTGGTCAACCTTGCCATGAATATGTATACCATTTCTACAAGCTACACAAACCATATATGTGAAGAGTTCCTTTTGTGTGTTCATCATTCCAACAGTTGTAGATGCAGTGACATTGATTTTCTGAAAACAAGTATTATTCTTACCATTATTGTTAGTTGTATTTTATATTTTCTGATATATTATGAAAGACTTCATGAATTTATTTTCTTGCCAATTTTCTTCTCCAGTATCATAAAGATGTCACTCGTCTTGTCACTGGTCATCACCGGGCTTCTGTAGCACCATTGCTGGTTGCTCTTGCTCGAATGTGGATGAAATTTGTGCAGAGCCATTATTCAGAAGGAAGAGGCAGGAGACCCAGGTGGTCAAATGCAGGAGTTGAGTTCATCGTTTTTGTTTGTGACCCACACAATACAAGGCACCTCAAAGATGAGGAATTTCAGGTGAGAATCTGTTTGATTGCTCTTTTGAAATAACAGTATTATGTCATATGCTTTTCACCTCTTGAGAGAAACTGATTCATCCTGAATATAAGTGATATTACATATCCCTAATTCATACATATACCAAAACCTTTGTAGAATTTCCGAGGTGAGATAGAGAAGTGCCTGGTGTACATAGAAGGAAAAGCTCCTGAGGCCAGCCAGCCAGGGACACCATTGACTCCAGTGCTGCCTAGACATCACTTCAGGTTAGTCTGATGCTTGATTGGTTAAAGTTCATTCATAAATTCAAGTTTCAGATGAATTTAGCTGGTCACTTATGTAGATCTGACAAAGAGTACAAAATTAATACTTTAGTAAAGTATGTCCGTTTGCCATAGGAGAATTAGAATGTCTTCATGTAAAAATCTTCCGGAAGAATGGAAGGTATATATTAATTTTACTACTGCAAAGCATATATTGATAGCTTTTGTAAAGTTTTATTCACATTTAGTAATAATAATGTAGATATATCCATGCAGTGTCTTCTTCTTGTCATCTGGATATTAGATAATTATAGGACTAAAGGATCTAAACATTTTGTTTTTGCTTAGAGAAGAGAGAAAGAATATTTCCAAATGGAAAGACTGCACTAGTGGAGTAGAAAAGAAAGAAATTATATTTTAGATTGTCCTTGAAATGGGATAACAGCAATGCTATATTAAAGCTTATGCCTCTCATGCAGATAGGTTTGTAATTTTGCATATTGATACTGTGTATATGTATATAAGAAGCAAAGTACGATATTTTTTATTTATTTTTTTGTTTCCCCCCATAATGAAACTGGGGAAATGGAATGCTGTCAGTATTATTGTATCCTCTTGTTTTTCTTCTCTTTTCAAGTTTTCTGTGGCATGTTATGATATACTATTGAAAAAGTCATATTCTTCCTATTATTAAGGAAAAGAAAAAGTCCTGAACACTATTCACCTTAAATTTTAGGTTTTGCAGATTTTTAGATGTTTTGCATGCTAAAACCTGTTTAACTTATTACAAATTCATAATAAAAATTCATAATAAAGCATTAGAAAACGTATGATGATTGAAATTTAGGTATAGCATGGTTCTCCTACTACCAAAAAAAGATAATCATAATGACATCTAAGCATGTTAAATTATGAAGCCACTTCAGATTTTGGGTCTTGCGGATTTTCGTTTTGCAATAAGTTCAGAAAGTGACTTACTGCAAATTTATAATAAACAAAAAGAAAGTGCATACCAGGAATTAGGATGCAGCTTATATACTTGAAGAATTAAAAAATAAATAAATAAATAAATAAATAAAATAAAAAAATGAAAAAATAAAAAAAAAGAACTGAGATGGCACCTGACACAATCTTCCTCAGGTCTTCTTCCACGTCATCCATGGGGCATAATGCACCAGAGAGGTCCCTGTCCACACAGTCCTCCCAGAGTGATTATTCCCCTGTGGTGAATCCAACTGACAGCCCACTTCTAAGGTGCGCACCAGGCAGAGCCAGATTTATGGTGGAGAACGTCAGATCTTCAGGAGTTGCTTACTTGATGTGGCGCGCACACACACACGCACACACGCACACACACACACACACACACACACACTCACTCACTCACTCACTCACTCTCACTCACTCACTCACTCACTCACTCACTCACTCACTCACACACTCACACACTCACACACTCACACACTCACATTCACACTCACACTCACACTCACACTCACACTCACACTCACACTCACACTCACACTCACACTCACACACACACACACACACACACACACACACACACACACACACACACACACACACACACACACACACACACACATGTAATATATAATAGATACATATATATACTTATATACATACATATATATATATATATATATATATATATATATATATATATATATATATATATATATATATATATATATATATATATATATATATATATAATTTTATTATTATTTTATGGTTTCTGTTATTATTCATTTTATCTTGTTTATTAGTTTATTATATTTATTCATAATGCCTCCATTCCTTTGCTGTTATATTTAATATATTTAGTATATATTTTCTTTCTTTTTTTTCTTTTCCTTTTTTTCTTTTCTCTTTTATATTTTGTTTTCCAAAACCTCTATCTTGCTTTTAATTATTAATTCCTTCATAATGCAATTTATAATTTTCAAGTAACCCATTTACTGCTACATTTCAAGAGTAAATGCTGCCCTCCACAAACCAAACTTCCTCACAACATTTCCTCACTGATTGGCTCAGTGCAGTGCTAACCTGGCTCACTTACAAAGCAGACCAAGGAGCACTTCACTCCTTTCAGTCATAAGCAAGAAAGTATGCTTTTTAATATATAAGTTCATATTGCTTCCACTGATGAAATTGCCCTCTAAAGGTAGTATGTATCTGGCAACAGCACAGGAAATACGTAATGATATCCAGAATTGTTACGTAAATTAATCCACCTACAACAGATTAATGCTATTCACGCCATGGTGAACTAGGCAAAAGGCCAGGTGACAAGCCTATCCAAAGTTGTACACAATAAAGAGATGTTCACCTGTTTATCCCTGAATGTAGACATTGGGCCCCACGAGACTAGGCTTACGACTCATTTTAGCCTCCTTTCCTAAAATATTATTTATGACCCAGCCAAAAGCTTAGAGAGTAGGGTTAGTGTAAGTGGCCTGGCTCAGTATGGCATAGGGAATTCCCATCATAAGGGGAGGGGAAAGATTTTATCTGTTTTAAATTCTGCGTCATTCATGTACAAATTATATAATTTTATTGAATAAGATATTTGTTTTCTCCAGTGATGTTTATATGAATAGATTTTCTTATTATACTCACAAAATGGTCTTTAGTGATCTTGTACTAATTTGTGAGCCAGTGGTTGTACACATATTGTATTGCCATCAAGTTTATTGAATATCACAGAGTAGATGAATCCATAAAGTGTAAGTGTAGGTCAGAGTTTTAAATATTCCTTTGAAATTATGTTAATTTCATATTTTTGTTTATTTATTTATATGTTTTACATAGTGTCTGTAGGTGTATGTATGTGTGTGTAAATAACTAGATATTTGCATGAATTCATATGTAAGAGCTAATAGTATTTGATTTGTTTTTCATCTGTACTTAAAATCTTTTTACTACTAGGCTTAGTAATGAATGTTTTTACGTTATTAATATGCTGCTTTATCCAAAATTATAGTTTATAATTTTACTAGCACAGTAAAGTCCCTTGCATGGTTCTCTAGGAAACTGAAGTCCTTTTTGTGATTTGCTTGTATTTGATTACTTATTCATTAAGCAGTAGATATAACACCATGTATGTATTTATATTATACATTTATTTCATTGAAGGAGAAATCTGCTAAGACGTAGTCAGCACAGCATAGAAAGAGCATCTGATCAGAGTGATGGAAAGAGCCCACCAATTGCAGGTAAGATCATTGGCACTCCTTAGTTTCACCCTTTTTATGGTTTTGAGTATTGTACAATCTTGATAGTGTAAAAGTTTAGATTTTTTCATTTCTTTTCTTTTCTTCTCATCCTTCTTCTTCCTCTTCTTCTTCCTCTTCTTCTTCTTCTTCTTCTTCATCATCCTCTTCATCTTCTTTTCTTGCTGTCGATATTAATTCTCTTTAGTTACTTCATCATTCTTGTAGCAAAAAAGAATGATTGGTGATTATAGGGTCAAGTAAAGAAAGTTTTAGCAGATTGATTCCCAGACTGGAAGATTAATAAGTTTGTTTCTCCAAACACAGAAAAACCAATAGAACGTGTTCGTAGAAGAATCACGGAGATGGATGTCGAATTGGACGAGAGTCTACGCGAGGACCAGGTTATTGGAAGGGTCTCTGATACGCAGCGTGATAAGATCCACTTTAAACCTCGTAGTGTCAGCTTTTCATGGCAAAGAGGTTTCAAAATTGGTAAGTGTGTGTGTGTGTGTGTGTGTGTGTGTGTATACATATATAGTGTACTTATTTTTATTTGTATTCATTGTTTTTTATTTGATATGTCGCATTATTATAATTATATATTTGTCACATTTTCGACAGAGACTGTATTTTAACTTTTTTGAAAAGGTGTAATGAGAAATGTTATGACTTTTTTTTATTATTATTTAAAGGCATTACATTATATTGCCACAAAAGTATGCTAATATGTAAGTTGGCCAACATATATTTTACATTAGTTATTTTTCTTAAAGTTGGAAATAATAAGGTAAAGTACCTTTCATTTTGAAATGAGATAAAGAAATCCAGGGTTTTATTTTCAAGAAGAGAACAGTTCTAGAAAAGTTCCGTGAGAAGAGTTCCGTCCTAGCCTTCAGATTATCTCGTCCAGAATGCTCAAACTTGTCCCTCTTGAGTTTGTCCGTTGAGGAAGTTTCCTTCATTACTGATCACATGAAGTCTGTGGAGATCAGCTCTGAAGGGGAAACTCGTTGAAGTCGAAGTGGTCATGCAACCGTGTGGATCGGCGACGTCAGTAGAAGTGGAGTGCGTGGAGGAACGATCTTAACCGTCATAGATTGCATAGGGATCGTATCCGTTGTAGGTGGAGTAAGGGTCGTAGGGTTCCGGGTCGGAGTGGATCTCGTCGTCTTCCACTGGGGGAGGTTCCTCAGGTCTGCAAGAGGGAAAAGGAATGCACCTGATTTTCTTTTCTCATCTTTGTCAAAAACCTCAGTTTCTGAATGAATGCCCCAAGCCAACCTTACAGCTCCAAAGATGAGCACACACGCACACCTACACCCGCACCCTGACCCCCCCCCCCCCCCCCCCCCTCATTCACACACGCACATCCTACACCCGTACCTGTACCCCGCTCCGCACACGCACACTTGATCTGCTTACAAAAGGGCCTCAGTTATTACCGGACAGTGGTGGTGGAGGTCTTAATCTCATCGATGTCCTTGAAGATCGGGCGGCCTACACTGCCCCCCCGGCGGACCATCATGCGGGAGCGCCACAGGGAGTAGCGCGGCCCGCGGAAGTCGTACCAGTAGAGGCCGGAGTACTCGTGGTCGGGGGGGACCGGCCCGTGCAGGTAGCGCCCGTTGAGGTTGCTGTTGGAGAATGTTGGCGTGGATAATTGTCTGGAGGGAGAATGCGGGTTGGGTAAATTTCCTCACCGCGAGAACTGCAATGCTTGAACACATATGGGCAGTTATTCGAGTAATGTTGTCTTTCATACAAGAGAGAATTGGAAACAGGATGATGGAGAATTAAGGCAAAGTACTTCTAAGCACTCTTGCGGAAATATGTGACCAAGATTAATTAACGGGACCTTTACAAGGCATGAAAGTGGATAGTGGATAATGCATTGACAGCATAGCGAGAGGAAAGTAGGTTTCGCAAGCGGGCGTAGCGAAAGCGCTTTGTGAGTCAGAGTAGGAAGATCACCTTGTGTCGCAGGCCCTGTACCACCAGGCGCCCATGTGGTCTCGGGCGCAGTTCCGCTCGGGCCAGGCGTCGTTATCCACGTCGATGGTGCTGAAGCGCCGGCCCACGTGGTAGCGCAGAGAGTCGCCTGGGGAGGTTTCAGGAAGTCCGTTATCCCGAAATTAAGTACTTGTATAACTATCTATGTATGAAGACAGAATTGTGCTGCGCTTACCTGCATCTCCCCTGTATTCGCCCAGCATTTTGAGCGAGTAGCCTTCCAGCTCAGACCCCATAGCGAACGCGGAATACACTGCAAATCCGTTTTGCTGGTCGAAGTCAGACAGGTCAATCCGAAGCTTCGAAACCTGCATTGCAATGCCTTATTTACAAAATCATCAACGTGTTCAAAGACTACATATGTACTCTCATTGTAATATGAAATGTCTGATTATATATATATATATATAAATATATATATATATATATATATATATATATATATAAATATATATATATATATATATATATATATATATATATATATATATGTGTGTGTGTGTGAGTGTGTGTGTGTGTGTGTGTGTGTGTGTGTGTCTGTGTGTATATATATATATATATATATATATATATATATATATATATATATATATATATATATGTGTGTGTGTGTGTGTATGTATGTGTATATATATATATATATATATATATATATATATATATATATATATATATATATATATATATATATATATATATATATAACCGATAAAGCCAAAAAAACTAGAAGTCTTATTTCCACTTGCGTGCTGGCTCGTGAGGAGGTAGATCTTCTCGTTGCCCAGCCAGAACTCGCCCGCCAGGTTGCCGAAGCCGTGCTTGTACTCGTTCCACTCGCGGAGGAAGTCCACCGTGCCGTCCTCGCGTCGCTGAATCACCTGGGGCGGGGCAGAAGGGACACTGCAGTTTATGGTTTTGTCGTGCCTGTTGTGGCAGAAGTCCGGTCTTGTTAGGATTCTAATTGTAGCTCTCATATTGCAATATGTAATGGAGAAAGGATATTCACTGCGGTTGGAAATGTGGTTGCGACTGAGCACTCATGGGTTACCTTAATTCAGATTTTTCTTGTGCGAGGCAAAAGGAATAGTACCACCTTAAGAGGCATAATATGATAATATATACGACGGTGTGATTACGTACGGGCAAAGGCAAACTGCGGCTGCCTTGAAAGGAGTAAAGCACGGAAGATATTGATGCAGACCGAACAAGTAAAATACTTAGAGATCCTGCCCAGAATACCCACCGTCCAACCACCTCCCTCGGTTTCCATGTCGCAGTACACGAAGAAGGGAACACTGGAGTACTGCGGCTGGATGCGGTAGACGCCCGACTTTTTCTTGCCTTGGCGGAGAAGCTGCCAGCAGTCCTCGGGCTCTGCAACATGCGCATTGCGCTCTTCAGGCTTTCGTTTTGATGAAAAGAGGATTTCGAAACTTGTGGCTCATTTTCAGTATTTTTGTTCATTATGGTTTTTCTACCATGGTATCAACATGATAGAATGTTTTACCATTCATTTTTACACCTTGTTTCGTATTTGGCATCACCTTATGAGAAAAAGGGAGCTTACATACCCTTTTCAACTTTGCCGCCTCCCCTCCCCCTCGTGCTCATCATCCGGGGCATAACGGCCGCCGTGGGCACCGTCTGGCTGGACTTGAGCTCGTTGAGGCTCTGGAGAAGGTACTGCTTCGACACCATGTTGTTCCGGATGTGGCCGAGCGTTCTGGGGGCATGAAGGGACGCTCTTTGGGTGCTGCTGGCGGGGGCCACGGGGGGCGTGTGGGGCGGCCGGGGGGCGCCGGGGGTTAGGTGTACTGTGTGTGTATGTGTGTGTTTAAATTTAATGTGGACCGTGAGCATCCATAATTCTGTATTAAGATATGTTATAGTAGCAATTAGGGTTATGTAGTTATGTGATTTAATACCAGGTTACTGAAATATGATTTTTTTATCAATATATCTCAAATTTCACTAGTAGCAAAAATATGACCTGAGGCACACTGCTACTATTACTACTACTACCACACACACACACACACACACACACACACACACACACACACACACACACACACACACACACACACACACACACACACACACACACACACACACACAAGCGCACAGTGCAACCAACCCAGTGGTGTTCATGAGCTGCGTCAGGTTGAGTCCAACCTCCCCGAGCTCCTGCTGAATGGCCTGGGCGACCGAGTGAACGCTGAACACGGAGGTCGCCACCGCCTGCAGCTTCTGCTCGTTGTTGCCTCCCGTATCTACTGCCCTTGTGCAAAGGGGTGTTGGTGTTAAATGCCTTCAGAGCACGCTTATTCAGCGACAAAAATGTTTGACATAAGATCATTATTGGAATTAATCTCTGTATAGGAAAGTATTTGTGCCATGTTCTGACTTTGTCATTTGTCATGCGAAATTTTAAAAAGGACTTGCCAAGAAGGCGAGCGTGAGCGACTGACCTGCCCTTGGGAGGTCCGTGATGAGGCCGCGGAGGTCGACGTGGCGCTGGGTGAGGGCGGAGATGCTGTCCTTGACGTTGTCCATGAGGCCGGTGATGCGGTCCATCTCGTTGTCGGTGGTCTCCATTCGGTGCTGGATGGCGTTGCTGATCTCGTTGAGCACGCCCTTCCGCTCCTCCGCCAGCAGCTCCATGCGGGTTAGTCTGTCACGAGCGGGAACGGGGGAGTTACACGTGAGGCCAGACGGAAACGGCTTCGGGAAACCAGGTGGATCACCGACGCTTTTGTTTCCATATGGTTTAGCTAGTGGTTGCTAATCCTATCGAATCCGCAGACGCGCACCTGCAGTTTTCTCAGGGAAAGTCCCCCCCCCCCCCCCACCTCGGCCTGGCTCTCCAGACGTACTCATCATAAGACCACAGAATCTCACCTGTAGTTGATGTTGTCAATCCGCTCTGCTCGCTGGCCTTGCAGGGTCTCGAAGGCGGCCTGCCTGTCACTGAGGCGCTGCAGAAGGAGGATGATGGTGTCCATTTGGCGCCGGGAGATTTCGGCGTCAGATATTTCTCCCCCGCCGAATACTCCTCCACTGAACCCCCCGGCAGGGCTATATCCTCCGCCGCCAAACCCCCCCACAGTGCCATATCCCCCGCCGCCTCCTACACCGCTTCCTACGCCGCCTCCTGTGTCGCCTCCTGCGCCGCCACCGAAGACCCTCTCCTCTCCGGCAGTCTCTCTCGATCCTTCGCCACCTCGGTCGCCTCCCCTGTCACCCCCTCCTCGATCGCTTCCTCCTCTGCCCCCTCCTCTTTCTCTGTCACCTCTGCCTCCACCTCTCCCTCCTCCTCTTCCTCCTCCTCCTCGTCCTCCTCCTCCTCCACCTCCTCCTCCGCCGCCGCCGCCGCCGCCGCCGCCGCCTCTCCTCTCGTCTACGGCAGGAGTCTCACTTTCACTCAGCTGAAAACCATTGTTTAGCAAAGAAAATGGGACCAATGATTAGATTACACTCGAACACACCAGGTAGTATGGACAAAACAAACCAAATACAGAACCGACATCGAGAGACCCTGGTGTCCGACTCACCTCGTTTCTCCTGACGGTGTCGACGAAGAAGGCCTCGTCCGGGATTTCCTCCTCCATGCCCTCTGGCCCCACGACCTCCTGCCCCCGGGAGAATGGGGTGGGATGAGAGTTAACTTCGAATACAAGGAGAGCAGTGAGCGTTCATGATTGACATTTTGAAAAAAAAAAAACATCAGTGATTTGGTTGTCTGATATAGTAAAATCTTTATATAGGTAAGTTTCCTTAACGTAATACAAATATTTTCCTTTTTTGGCGAGAAAGGCAAAAAGAAGGAATTACTTCGTGTGTGTGTGTGTGTGTGTGTGTTTGTGTTTGAAAGTAACATATCAGCTTCTAAGCCTAGAGCCCAAGTGTAGCTCATCTTTTGTGTGCAAGTTATTCTAACATGTCGCTTGAAGGTTTTTGTCAAGTGTCTGTTCAAGTGGTTGTTCGGCTGCCTCATTTTTGCGTCTGAACTTGACCTTCGGTGTGTTTAGAGTGAGTGCTCTTAATCTCACGCTTTCAATGTCAATTTTATTATCCGTGCGTTGAATGTGTGTGTGCACTTGTGTGTAGTGTGGCTCACCGGAGGAGGTCTGATGAGTGGGCGTGTATCCCTGCCCTGGCCGCCCACGAGCCCAGCTAGCATGAGTAATACCGCCCAGGCCGCCCACGCCCCCATGGCGAGTGATTCACACTGATGCCACGAAGTTCACGATTCCGTCTGGGTTGCCTGGTGCCACCACGGCTCTCGCGCTCACGTCCTGGCACCCCGCTGTCCCCGAGTGCTGCCTTGCGTCACTTTACCTGCCGGAGAATGCAGTCTGTGAGCGCCGCGAGGGCTGGCCAGATCATCACAGGGAACCAAAACCTCAGGGGGAAGTGCCAAAAATTATGCAACTTCAGGATTCAACATTTTCCGCCCTCACTTGATCAGACGATCGTCAGGTTCACAGGAAAAAAACACATTAGTTTTCAGAGCACTCTTAATAAAAATAGATTATTGAAATAGTCGGTTATAAAGCTATATAGTTACTGCTTCATAAAAACACATTATCTCTCCATTCATGTTTGACCGAATTACTTAAAATCGTCGACAGAGTAAATAATTCTTCGAAAACTGAGCAAAAAAATCCACCCTCCGCCAAGAACTCTCCCTTTTGACTTTGTCCAACAAAAGTCTATTACACTTAATGAACGAATCGTAATAGGGCGTCCGAGCGAGGGTTCCGTACATGGCTGGCGACGGGTGTCCACAGCACGACGCGCGGGGAAGGTGTGGGCCTAGGAGCGGACGCTGGGGACTGCGTGTGCGTGTGTTTGTGTGTGTTGCTGCTTCGAAGAGGACACTAGGATGGCAGAGACACAGGGCGAGGGGAGTGCCAGCCTTGTCCTTCCCCCTCCCTCAGCCCCACATCTCCCCCCCCCTTTCTCGATGACCCTCCCCCGCCCCACCCCCACTCTCATCACTTGTAGTTGGTGTCGGCGGACCTCACCCCCTCACCCCTAGCGTCACCGCTCTCCCTCCCCTCTCCCTTCTCCCCTGTCTCCTCTCCCCTGTCTCCTCTCCCCTCTGGCCTCTCCCCTCTCCCTTCTCCGCTGTCTTTCATCCCCTTCCTCGCCTGACTTCCATGCTAGATGTAATTCCGTCACCCCATACTCCGAATATATATGTATATCTCCTGATTTGTCTCGTGTCTGTGTGTACTGCGACCTACTAAAAAGGCATTCTTGCTTTTCATTCCCTTTATGCTTTTATTTTTTTGTTGTTCATGGTTCTTGCTTTCCTATTGCCGGGGTCTGTGTGCAGGTGAGACGGAGGAAGGTCCTGGAGGGGCGTGGTTTGCGCGAGAGAGTGTTTGTGGAGGGAACAGCCTGGTGAACTCATCAGGC